AAGCCATTTCATTGGCAAAAAGCTAGATCCATTTGTTGTTTGTTGATAAGAACTAATATTTTGACTCAAACCAAAAAAAAAAAGAGTTTTAAGTTTTAAATCAGATGATACACGCAATTACAAACATGGGACAAATACGTCCCTTGGTCCTCAAAGGGTTAAACTGCTGTCTCTTACCAATAGCCTTGAAAAACCTGCTGATCCACACTTTGGTGAGCTCCCACCACTCAGACTTACTGCCGCAGAAATCCAGCACCATCTCCTGCGCCTGAAAGAACTCCTCGAAAGATCGTCTCACCTCCTCGTCCTCCAGCAGAAACGAATTCATCCTCCAGATGCCCTTTCCTCTCAGCGGCGTGTCTGAAATATTCAAGGTGACAGATAGCATAAGGTGATCGGAAAACTCCACCGCCCGACACTCAGGTGCTGAGAAGGCAGAGTTCTCCTTCAAAAAAAACCTGTCTATCCTACTCTGGCTATTACCTCTCCTATAGGTGAAACCCGTGCCGTCTGGGACACTTTGAATCCAAGCGTCAACCAGACCTGCCTCCCTGACTATAGCATTTAGAAAAACGCTATCATATCCCAGCCTGTCAGTGAAGCCTCTCCTGTCCTTGGGCCTAGTAATGGTGTTAAAATCACCTCCAAAGACTACCAGCCGGGATGTAAAGAGGTAAGGTTTAATCCTCGCAAAGAAGTTCTTCCTGTCCCACTTGGACTGTGGGCCATAGATATTAATGAGATGGAGCTCTTGCCCCCTTACGAGAACATCCAGAATCAGACATCTTCCGATCTCTACCTCAATTATCCGCCGACACGTTACCATGCCGGTAAAAAGCACCGCAACTCCGCTGTAAGGCTCAGCCGCAAGAGACCAGTAGGAGGGCCCACGCCTCCACTCATGCTTGGCCAGATGGACATCAGCCAAGGTGGGCAACCTGGTCTCCTGCAAAAAGAAAATATCAGCTTCCATCCCACTGATCAAAAATAATGCTGTTTCTCTAGCACTTACAGACTTCAGGCTGGCAACATTAATAGTTGCCACCTTTATCGGAGCGGGAACTGCCATTAAGATAATTGAGAGGGACGTTTCTTAATCCTCCTCGTGACTATCTTGGCAGGGTCCCTCGCTCTCTTAAGAGACCCCCCAGCATCCTCGTCCTCCATCGGGGAAGCGGGATCACCTGACCCCTCCTCCTCCCCCGACAAAGCCCCTAACCTATTCCCCAGGGCCACATCCCCCACCTCTAAAGAGGACACCGACCCCGCTGAGGACAAAACTGGCTTACTCCGCCTACCCACCAGGGACCACCCCTCCTCCACCTGAGCCCCTGCTGGAGCAGAACCTTGGGACTCCCGGGACTCCCTATCAGGCTTCCCACTCCACCGCAGCGGCAAGAGCACGGGGGGAGCAGACACTGAGGGACTAGACCTAGCCTCAACCATCCCGGCCCCTTTAGCAGCCTTTCTCAGCTGTTTCTTACTCTGGGCACACAAGGGGGAACAACAGGGGACTTCAAAGGGGTAGATGAAACAGGGGGGCAGAGACAGGAGGGGCCCAAAATGCCCCTTGCCCCCACACCGGTGGCAGACCCTCGGCTGACCCGCATAAAAAATTATCAGGCGGTCCTTTCCTAGAAAAGCGGAAGAGGGAATGTGCTGGAGCACATTTCCAACCACCTTTAAGCGGACGATGGTCGTCCACCCACCTGTCCATATTCCCCTCTCATCATTGATCTTCCCAAGGGGCCCCATCACATCCCCATATCTGATTAGCCAGACCACAATATCTGATGCTGGGATGGATTCATTTCTCACCAGCACCGTTATTTTTTTAATCAGGGACTGGCGAGAGACGAGCCTCGGGGTTAGGCCCACCCACCTAGGGCTGGTGACAAAGGTGGCCTCATACCTCTGCCAAAAGAGGTCAAACAATTCCGGCCGCATGAAGAACACGTCATATTCTCCAGTACCAACTGGAGCAATAAACGTGAAAATATCCGTGGCACGGAAGCCCATTTCTAATATCCGGTCTATGACCTCTCTCCTGCTAAGGGGGGGGCCCTCCCCTGACCATTTGAGCTGAACAACATTTCGCCTTGCGGCGGAAGTGGGTAGGTTACCTGCCCTTGCCCGGGCCGATCCCACTGACCCCTGACCTCCCCTAACTGCAGCGGAGTAACTGAGCCCCGATCTAGCCCCAGGGGCACTCAACACCAAGGGGGCATGACCAGGGGAAGCCGCCACACCAGCAGCAGCAACTGAAGGGGCAGACGCAGATGAGCCATGACCTGGGGGAGCCCGGGGCTGGGGACCACCCATACCAGCAGGAGAACCCACCTGAGCCTGACCCGCAGGAGCCTGGACCTGAGAACCTGGAGCCCCCTGAGGAGAAACCGGGGGACCTGCTGGTTGCACACCAGAGGCCACCATGCCCCCCCAAAGGGGCGGGGCCTAGTGGGACCACCACCGGAGGGGAAACACCCTTAGCCAGGACTGTAGGGCTAACCTGCACCTCAGACAAATTTGCAAGCATTATACCCGCTACCCCAGTGTCCACAACCATCTCACCAACACACTCAGCAGAGTCCTTCTCCTTCTGTACAGACAGTGGCTCCCCTGCCTTTGCCAACACGTCCTTGGGGATGTGTTGCAGCATGACAAAGGCAGCATGCTCTTTCACCACCGGCTTAGCCAGCTTGCGGGGCATGACATCACTTTCAGCTTCTTCCTCCGAGTCCTCGGGCGTAAACCTGAAGTCGGCTCCACGCAGCTCTGCAACCGCCTCTGCCAGGAACCGCAATCCGCCCGCCATCTCCGCCTCCTCCACCTGGGTCCCCCAATCCACAGGCAGCTGCCCAGGGGGGAGGGACTCTGATGATCCTGCGACCACGCTGTCTTCCATTTTAGGCGCCATTTTCTCTGAGGGTGCTGCAGGCTCAGCTTGCCCCTGCTCCTGCTCGCCTTCCGCCGGCAACTCCCCTGACAATTCCTCCACCGAGGAGGCCTCTTCCACCAGACCCCGCATCGCCGCAACACTGCGGCTTCTTGCAGCCTTAAATCTCGCTTCATTCAGATACTTTTCACTTAGGACGCCGCTCTTGCGCTGCAGCGTCGCCACATACCTCCCCACACATAATTCCAGCGCCTGCAGGCTTGGTTTCATGGCCTGCCTCTTTGTGGACCATACCCGGTCGTAGGATGACCGGAGCTTCTTTAGCTCCAGAGTCGGTTTCTGGAGCTTGGCTTCCTCCTTCTCTACTAACCTGGCCCGAGCGGCCACACGGTCCCGGTAGGCAGAGTAAACTTCCCCCTTCCTAGGGGCCGTTCCCAGGTCCTCTACTGGTGGAAAATAGAGACCGGTACTAGGCCCCTCCAGGGCCTTCTCCTTGCTGGACCCAGGCCCAGGATCCGCCATCCTGCCTGGGCTGGGCAGGGCACTTTAGCCCCAGGCTTCTCGGGCCTACCTGAGGCTTAGCAGAGCACAGTCCAACACAGCCTCTCCACACGGTGTCAGGAATGGACTTGCCAGTGGTGGTGGGACTCACCTGCCGTGTGGGCTGCAGTACCAGGGCTGGCCAGCGGGTGCTCTCAGCAACCAGAGGCTCACTCCTGCAATGAGCCATCACCTGAAGCTGATTACAACAGGTGTATTTAAGGAATGGCCAGGCCTGTGATCAGGGCCTTGGTGTATGTTTTCCCATGAGCCCCTGTACCTGCATCTTGTCTGCTTTCTGCCTGATCCAGATTCTGCTTCGATCCCTGACTCTGCATGAACTCTGCCTGTCCTGACCTCAGCTATTCCTGACTACTCTTCCACCTGCTCCTTGTGCCCTGCCTGCACGTTTGCTACCGACCCGGCCTGCCCGACTACGCTTAGTATTGTTTCTATTGTTATCTGTTGGAGGTTTGGGTTGGTTTGTTTGCACTGTGTTGTTGTTTAGTCTTGCACTGCGTCTATGTTTTGTTTAGTCTTATTAAATTGTCTTATTCACATTATACCTGAAGTCTGCATTTCCCTGTGTCAGTCCACACATTTCTGGTCATACCCGGATCCCTAACAGAACACCAAGGCCATTCCTGACCAGAAGTGGCTGCACAGGGAAGCCTTCTTGGCTTATTGTTGTTGGGAAGGATGCATCTTGATGAGGTGATATATTTGTCTCTGCTAGTCTTTGATGACAGAGATTATGCTTATCAGACTCTGAAGGAGTATACCAGGGATCAACTACTAGAATGCATAAGGATCGCTCATTGCCTAGTAGATCAGGGCACAAAGTTCTCTGAGGTGCAACCATTGATTCAGGTTTGTGCAGAGTTGGCTTCATCTGGTACCCCCGAATGCAAGAATGAATTTTTGCCGCCATTTAGTGCCGACCAGGTAGAGTCCCTGGTGTGGTTATTGGAGGATGATGTGGATTACTTCTTGGAGCGTTATTCTGCATGTTCACAACAGGTGCTAAGAGATTGTATAAACGCAGTGCAGTCTTTGACCAGACAGGCTTTGTGTAAGCTGAGCTTTGTTCAACCCATACTGCAGACATGGTCAGACTTGTTGCACCCAGCCTCAGTCAGCTTGCAACGTCATTCCTCTGCTCAAGGCACTCTTCCTGCATCCCCGACAGCACCCCCAGTGACAGCCCAGTATACTCTGCTAACTACCACATATCAGTCCCCTGCTCCCACTCGCTTCACCTATCCTATCTTTAACCCTGTAAAGAAGTCCTCTGTAGCAACTGCTCCCTCCTTTGTTCCATCCCTCAGCTCTTCTCTGCCTACAGCTGCTCTATCCACTTACAAACCTGCGCTTACTTCCTGCGCTCCAGTAACTAAAACCAGGAAAAAGCGAAAATTCTTTCCAACCAATACCATCCTGCCAGTATCCAAACCGGTCAGCCTGCCGTCTGAGAACCCACCTTTCGTGGTTCAGCCTGATACCCTGATGCCCGATGACCCAGTGTACCCAACCCAGCTTGATGTGTCTACCCAGCCTGATGGTCCTATTATGCCAGATGACTCGGTGCCTGCTGTCGAGCCAGACGATCCAATGCCAGATGACCCGGTACCCGCTGTCGAGCCAGATGACCTGATGCCAGATGACCCGATGCCCGCTGTCAAGCCAGCCGATCCAATGCCTGATGACCCAGTGCCTGCGGTTCTGCCAGATGACTCGGTGCCTGCTGCTCCGCCTGATGGCCCGGTGCCCGCTGCTCCGCCTGATGGCCCGCTGCCTTGCCTGCTGCTCCGCCTGATGGCCCGGTGCCCACTGCTCCGCCTGGTGACCCAGTGCCCGTGGTTCTGCCAGATGACTCGGTGCCCGCTACTCCGCCTGATGGCCCGGTGCCCGCTGCTCCGCCTGATGGCCCGTTACCCGCTGCTCCGCCTGATGGCCCGGTGCCCGCTGCCTTGCCTGCTGCTCTGCCTGATGGCCCGGTGCCCGCTGCTCCACCTGATTGCCGGTGCCCGCTGCCGCTGCTCCGCCTGATGGCCCGGTGCCTGCTGTTCGGCCTGATGGTCCGGTGCCTGCTTCTCCACCTGGTGACCCAGTGCCCGCGGTTCTGCCAGATGACTCGGTACCCGCTGTCCTGCCAGATGACTCGGTGCCTGCTGTCGAGCTTGGTGACCCAGTGCCCGCGGTTCTGCTAGATGGCTCGGTGCCCGCTGTTGTGCCAGATGGCTCGGTGCCTGCTGTCATGCCAGATGACTCGGTGCCCGCTGTCGAGCTTGGTGACCCAGTGAACGTGGTTCTGCTAGATGGCTCGGTGCCCACTGTCGTGCCAGATGGCTCGGTGCCCGCTGTCGTGTCAGATGACTTGGTGCCCGCTGTCGTGCCAGATGACTCGGTACCCGCTGTCCTGCCAGATGACTCGGTGCCCGCTGTCAAGTTTGGTGACCCAGTGCCCGCGGTTCTGCCAGATGGCCCGGTAACCGCTGCTTTGCCTGATGGCCCGGTGGCCGCTGCTCCGCCTGATTGCCCGGTACCGCGCTGCCCTGCCTGCTGCTCCGCCTGATGGCTCGGTGCCTGCTGCTCCGCCTGATGGCCCGGTGCCTACTGCTCCGCCTGGTGACCCAGTGCCCGCGGTTCTGCCAGATGACTCGGTGCCTGCTACTCCGCCTGATGGCCCGGTGCCCGCTGCTCCGCCTGATGGCCCGGTACCCGCTGCTTCGCCTGATTGCCCGCTGCCTTGCCTGCTGCTCCGCCTGATGGCCCGGTGCCCGCTGCTCCGCCTGATGGCCCGCTGCCTTGCCTGCCGCTCCGCCTGATGGCCCGGTACCCGCTGCCTTGCCTGCTGCTCCGCCTGATGGCCCAGTGCCCACTGCTCCACCTGATTGCCCGGTGCCTGCTGCCTTGCCTGCTGCTTCGCCTGATGGGCGCTCTACCTGATGGCCCGGTGCCCGCTGCTTCGCCTGATGGCCCGGTGCCCGTTGCCTTGCCTGCTGCCCAGCCTGCCGTGCCTCTGCCTGCTGTCCAGCCTGCCGTGCCTCTGCCTGCTGTCCAGCCTGAGGTGCCTCTGCCTGCTGCCCAGCCTGACGTGCCTCTGCCTGCTGCCCAGCCTGACGTACCAGCTCCTGATGCCCAGCCTGCTTCTGGAAATCCTGTGTCCAGCAATCTGCCTTCCTGCAGTCTCCTACAAAAAGATAGGCCTGTCAGCAGGAGACCCAGCCAATCGCTTGATTCCGGCAGTGGGATGTCCAGCCAGTTGCCGGACCCAGGCGGTGGAACATTTGGGCCATTACGGACTGTTTGGAGGCCGCTCCTTGAGGGGGGGGTACTGTCAGGAATGGACTTGCCAGTGGTGGCGGGACTCACCTGCCGTGTGGGCTGCAGTACCAGGGCTGGCCAGCGGGTGCTCTCAGCAACCAGAGGCTCACTCCTGCAATGAGCCATCACCTGAAGCTGATTACAACAGGTGTATTTAAGGAATGGCCAGGCCTGTGATCAGGGCCTTGGTGTATGTTTCCCATGAGCCCCTGTACCTGCATCCTGTCTGCTTTCTGCCTGATCCAGATTCTGCTTCGATCCCTGACTCTGCATGAACTCCGCCTGTCCTGACTTTGGCTATTCCTGACTACTCTTCCACCTGCTCCTTGTGCCCTGCCTGCCCGTTTACTACTGACCCGGCCTGCCCGATTACGCTTAGTATTGTTTCTATTGTTATCTGTTGGAGGTTTGGGTTGGTTTGTTTGCACTGTGTTGTTGTTTAGTCTTGCACTGCGTCTATGTTTTTTTTAGTCTTAATAAATTGTCTTATTCACACTATACCTGAAGTCTACATTTCCCTGTGTCAGTCCACACATTTCTGGTCATACCTGGATCCCTAACAATTATGTTCAGCAGACTGTGTTCTTCTATTGTTGTGACTTAGATGACGTTCAGGGCACATTTTTTTTGCCCAATTCATGCAAAACTCCACGTAATCCCAAGGGGTTCACATACTTTTTCTTGCAACTGTATTGCAGCTCAGCTGCATAGAAGGGGCATTTAAATATTTTCTGCAGAAAAGTCTGCATGAAGCCACTGGACACTTCCAGGTTTAAAGATGGCTGCCATGTGGGGGAAGTGAAAGAGAGGAGGGGTGTGAGAGAGAGAGGAAGGGATGAGAAAGGAGGGGTGTGTTTTAAATTGCACTAAAAATTGGGCATGGCTTAACCACTTGAGCCCCAGCCACTGCATTAAAACGTTTGCAGGGCGGCACAGCTGCGCAAAACCACGTTTTAAAACAGGTAGGGGGTGTCAGCAGCGGGTCTCAGCCGCCGGGTCATGGCTTGTCATTACCGGCCGTTTCCCGGCGATTATCGGCAATCGCTGACAGAGAGCAGGGCTGCATTGTTTACACACAGCCCTACTCTCTGTCAGTTGCCTGTCAGCTCCTGACAAGTTGAACCGGAGAGAAGAGTTTATCTCTCCGGATCAGCCTGTCCCCGTCCAGCACACCCCTCCGCCCCCTAATAAAACACTCCCCTCACACAGTTAACCCTTTCAGTGAATAAAAATGTTAACTCCTTCCTCCCCAGTGCCATTAGTACAGTGTCAGTGGGTTTTTTTTTCACTGATCACTGTATTGGTGTCACTGGGGATGTCAGTGACCCCAAGTCAGTTCCCCCCCAGTGTCAAAATGTCCGCTGCAGTCCCGCAGTCCTGCCATAAGTCGCTGATCGCCGCCATAAGTCGCTGATCGCTGCCATTATTAGTATATAAAAAAAAATAAAAAATCCCAGTATCTTTCCCGCCATTTGTAAATGCTATAACTTTCATGTAAACCAATTAATTTACACGTATTGGGATTTTTTTTAGCAAAGACATGTCGCAGAATGCATTTTGGATGAAATTTGTGACAAAATTTGATTTTTTAATTTTTTTACTGGACATGTTTTATAGCAAAAAAAGTCCACAATATTGTTTTTTTTTTCTCAAAATTGTCAGCCTTTTTTTTATAGCGCAAAAAATTAAAACCACACAGGCGATCAAATACCACCGAAAGAAAGCTCAATTTGTGGGAAAAAAAGGATGTAAATTTAATTTGGGTGCAGTGTTGCATGACCGCGCAATTGTCAGTTAAAGTAACGCAGCGCCGTAACACAACCCTCTTCTGTAACCGCTTCCTGACCACCCTACAGCAGAAATACTGCTACAGGGCGGCATGGGTACGCAAAATCACACATATATATATATATATATATATATATATATATATATATATATACGTGATTCGAGCTCCCATGGTTTTCACACCCCTCCCAGATAGCGTCAGATTGCCCGTCAGTACACCAGTCATCACATTTAACCCCCTGATTGCCAGGAACACGCTCATGTACAATAATCCTCCATTGCTAGTATAGCGTTTGAACTGGTCAATATCTTTGATCAGGTCAGCACTATACCAGCGTTCACATTAATATAGCGTCCCCAAAAACGCAGCGTTAGCGGGATCAGCCCCGGCACCTGCCAGCACCTGTGAATAGCCCCTACGCTTACCCCCCCCCTTCTCCCCCAGCAAGTGCAGTGTCAGTAGGTCACTTTAACTTGATACATTGCACACAAAACCGCAGTGTTCGCAGAATCAGGCCTGATCTCTGTTAGCACTTGCCGGTATATTTTGATGACTCTCATATGAACTGGCGAGTACCAGCGGTCTAGTACATCCTGGTCTTTCACATACCTCCTTGATTTTTGGAGCTGTTTTTCACAGAATATCTGTATGCGTTGATTGTGGATCAAAGCAATTTATATGCACAACAATTTATCGCCACCAAGCCAAATTCAAACCTTGCCAGACCATTCGCATGGAAACTCATTACGGTTTTCAAATTTACATTTTTTTTTTTTGGGCCTAACCCTCAACATGGGCATTACTAAAAGAAATGAATTGTGGTTGTGTTGGTCTGCAGACCCGATTCATCATATGCCGTGTTCTCTGTTGCCATGGCCAGGCATAGATATGAGAGTAGTATAATGTTTTTTTCAGCGACAATACATCATCCTCGGGGTAACCCTGAATTTGACTGGCTCCACAAAATTCAGCCCCTCGCAAATCACCTTAACCTAAAATTTGCAGATGTCTATACTCCCCAGCAAAACATCTGCGTTGAGCAGTCCCTCATTAATTTTTCTGGCCGCCTTGCATTCAAACAATTTCTCCCCTGCAAGCGTGCCAGATATGTGGTCAAGATGTAGAAGACCTGTAAGAGGACAACAGGCTATACTTATAAGTTTTGGATTTATGAGGGAAAAGATAGTCACGTGGAGCCCCCCCAGATGCCCAGACTACATGGGGAGCAGTGGCAAGATAGTTTGGGACTTGGTGTCAACATTTCTCCATATGGGGTACCACTTATACGTGGACAATTTTTATTCAAGCGTGCCATTATTTAGACATTTGTGCAATCTTGGAACTGGCACTTGTGGCATAGTGTGACCTAATGTGTGCCCACCATTAGAAGTGGGTGGATGCAGGGTGGTATATTCTAATGGTGGGCATACCACACACTTTTTCTGGCAGAGATTTCTTCTCATTTTTTCATTCATTCCACAGGCTGCATACAAAAAAAAAAAAGAACATAGCATGTATAACCAACAAGGATCAGCGATGTACTGGTACATCACTGGATTTGAATGGTTTATACCAGGATGATGCCTACAGCTGCAGGCATCATCCTGGTATAGTTTTTTTCAGCCGGCGATTGGCTTTCATGTAAAAGCAATCCTAGTGGCTAATTAGCTGCAAGATTGCTTTTACAAGCAGTGGGAGATGATGTCCCCCCTCCCCCGTTGCCTTCCCCCGGCCTTCTCGGGCAGTCCCGTGCCATCAGGGGAACCTGAGAATGCAGCCGGTGTTTCTGCCAGCTGACCATAGAGCTGATTGGAGACCAGAATGGTGCCAATCATCTCTATAGTCTAAGAATTCAGAAGCTACAAACATTTCATCACTTCAGTTTTGCAGGATATAAACAGCGCCATTTGTAAATTGGGAAAGCATCTGATCACACCGATTTTGGTTTCATTAGATAATGTAAGGGCAGAGGAGATATCTAGAGTCTGATAGACCCCAGATTTCTCAAAAAAGAATATATGACAATGCCCATTGAAGTTATAGGGGTTATTTGCATTCCCTGTTATAGCATTAAAAGTGATCAAAAAAAAAAAAAAAAATGAAAGGTACAATGTAAAAATAAAAAAAAAAAAAAATCAAAATATCTATAAAAAAAAAAAAAATTTCCCCTCCCATGCGCGCACACCTGTGTGCACAAGCCTTGACCCTGTGCCGATATGTAAACAGCGGTTGCACCATGCATGTGAGGTATTGCCATGAACGCAGATCAAGGGCAATAATTCTAACACTAGACCTCATCTGTAAATCTAAAATGGTCCTCCTCGGCGGTCTGATTATTTCCGATTTTTTGTGCTGAAAGCGGTACCATTTTTTGCATGGAAATATGTAGTTTTTTATTGTAGGCTGTAATTTTTAGAAATAACTCACTGAAATCTGTACGAACAAGAGTCTAGTAAACATCCCGGGTAGGATTAAAATTTGAAACACGAAATCATAAATTATAATTGAATAAATAATCATAAAAAATAATAATATAATAATAATAAATTTAATTCAATAATATAATCAAACCAAAAACACTGAAATTTGAAATATAGAGGCAAATTCGCACATCGCTGAGCAAAGTCGCAAAATCGTTTTCAGTGTCTGATGACGAATTTCCCCACGAATCATTATCACTCAATTCTGCAAGTGGTTCTGTTTTACTATCGCTGTTCTCTAGCTAGTCTAAAACCGCTTTTGATGTAAAGGGACGCTTTTTGGACGCCATGGACTTTTCTAAGTTTCCAGGCAGAAAGAACAGTCAAAATGCAGGCAGGGCACAGGACAAAGCAGTAGGGACGAAAAATGTATGTGAAATGCATTGAAACAGCAATGTTTTACTATGTAATAATCATTAAAAAAAAAAAGACATTTTTTTTAAAAATTTCAAATTTGCCGCCGGTTCCGGCGCCCGTACATCCCGACGTCACAGGGTCACAGGGACGGAACACGGAAGCCAGATGCCGGCATCGGCCGGAGGAGATGGCCGGGATCGCTGCAGGGGACACATCGTGGGAGCGAAGGACAAGGTAAGTGCTGCAGGGACTCCCTGAGCAACGCCGCATGGTAAGCCCGAGTGTAGGTCTGGGTTACCGCTCTTGGTACTCAAATTTTACCCCAAGCTACACTCGGGAATACCGCTAAGGAGGTTAAAGCGCTGCCTATAGATATTAAAAATGTTTGCAGTTTGTCGCCATTGCACGGGGCATGCGCAGTTTTAAAGCATGTCATGTTTGGTATCTATTTACTCGGCATACCATTATCTTTTATATTTTACCAAACAATTGGCCAATATATTGTGTTTTTGTGCATTAAAAGTAAAAAAAGTGTATTTTTTTTTTAAATTTGCATTTGAAAAATCGCTGCGCGAGTATTATGTGCCATACAAAAATTGTAGTACCCACCATTTTATTCACTAGGGTGTCTGCTTTAAAAAAAATATATAATGTTTGGGGGTTTAAATTAATTTCCTAGCAAAAAATACAGATTTTTTTCATGTGAACAAAAAGGCTTGGTCTTCAGGTGGTTAGAAGAGTGAATGATGTGTAGCATAAACTTCTAATGCTGGGCATAAAACGCCCACACACCCCCAAAATTACCCCTTTTTGGAAAGTAGTCACCCCCCAAACTATTTGCTGACAGGAATGTTGAATCAATAGAAGAATTTATTTTTTTACCACAAGTTTTTGGAAAATGACAAAAATAAATATATTTTTTTTTTTTACACAAAATTGTCACTTAAATGATTTACTGCTCACACATGCCATGGGTATATGTGGAATTACTCCCCAAAATACATTTTGCTACTTCTCCCGAGTTTGGGGGTACCACATGTGAGAGACTTTTTGGCAGTCTAGCCAAGTACAGGACCCCAAAATCCAATAAGCACCTTAAGGCTTTTAAAGGGCTTTATTTCCTCATTACACTTCCAGACTACCTATCACAGTTTCGGAGGCCCTGAAATGCCAGGATAGCACCTAACCCCCCCAAAATACCCCTTTTTGGAAAGTAGACGCCCCAAGGAATTGGATAAAAAGCACAGTAAGTATTTTGCAGATCTCATTTGTTGTCACAAGTTTTTGGAAAATTAAGAAAAAAAACAAAAACAAATTTTTTCTATTTTTTTTATATTTCAAAACCTTGTGAGAAAAAATGAGATCTGAAAAATACTCACCATGCCTCTTTTTTAATTCCTTGGGGTGTCTACTTTCCAGAAAGGGGTCATTTGGGGGGGGGGGGGGTTGGGGCTATCCTGGCATGTCAGGGCCTTCGAAACTGTGATAGGTAGTGAGGCAGTGTAATGAGTAAGTTACGCACCTTCAGGCTTTCAAAGTGGTCATTGGATTTCAGGCTTCTGTATGTGGCTAGACTCCCAAAAAGTCTCACACATGTGGTATCCCCATACTCAGTAGAAGTAGCAGAATGTATTTTGGGGTGTAATTCCACATATACCCATGGCTTGTGCAAGAAATAAATCATTTAAATGACAACTTCGTGTAAAAAAAAAAAAAAAAAACAAAAAAAAAAAAGTTTTTGTCATTTTCCAGAAACTTGTGGAAAAAAAATAAATCTTCTATGGACTCAATATGCCTCAATATGGTTATAGCGCCAAAAATAAAAAGTGCACAGGTGATCAAATACCACAAAAAGAATGCTCTATTTGTGTTAAAAAAAGGACATAAATTTCATTTATGTACAGTATTGCATGACCGCGCAATTGTCCGTAAAAACTAGCACAGCGCTGTATAGCAAAAATATGGCGTAAATTGCAGTATCTATACCATAGTTTGTAGACGCTATAACTTTCACACAAAGCAATCAATATACACTTATTGGGAGTTTTTTTTACCAAAAACATGTAGCAGAATACATTTTGGCCTAAATTTATAACTAACTTTGAGTTTACTATATATTTTTTATAGCTGAAAGTAAAAAATAAAGTTTTTCTTCAAAATATTTGGTTTTTTTTTTTTGTTTATAGCGTGAAAAATAAAAAGTGCACAGGTGATCAAATACCACCGAAAGAAAGCTCTATTTGTGTGAAAAAAAGGAAGTAAATTTTGTTTAGGTGCAGCATTGCATGACTGCACAATTATCAGTTGAATTAGTGCAGCACGAGTAGCAAAAAGAGGCCTGGTCATTAAGGGGGGTAAATCCTCAGGAGCTCAAGTGGTTAAAAGGGGTGTGTCAAATAGTGCCTGAGATAGTAGTGCAGAATGAGATATAGTGCAGAATGAGGTCATGTTAAATAGGGAATGTACAGTGTGGAGTGTATGACAGAAGTAGTATGTGTAGGATGGTGTCAGTAGTTCTTCATTTTTATTAGTATTTTTTTTTTTTGTTGCAATCTTATGATTTTTTTTACAAATTAATGTTTTATTATTTTTATATTTTTTTTTCAAAATGCTTTTGGGTGGCCAGTGGATGGTGTCAGTAGAGCAAAGGTGTGGGTGTCAGAGTTTTTTAATAATTTTTATTGTCTAATTTTTAATTATTTTTTGCAATTTATTTCTGTATTATTTTTTTCACAATGATTTTGTGGGGGCAGTGGACAGTGTCACTAGGGAGCGAACAGGGAGCACTAGTATATGTTGGGCTGTCATTAGATTGGGATGAATAAACAGAACCTGTACCCCCTTATATCGGAAGGAAGGGAATGGATGGAGTGAAGGAAGGAAGAAAGAAAAGGGAGGGAGGGTATGGATTGAGGAAGGAAGGAATGATGGGTGGGAGGAAAGAATGAAGGGAGGGGATGGAGGAAGGAAGGGAAGAAAGAAAAAGGAGGGAGGGAATGGATGGAAGAAGGAAGGAAGGAATGAAGGAAAGAAATAAAATGGATGGAGGAAGGAATGAAGGAAAAGGAAGGAAAGGGAGGGAGGAAAGAAAGGAAGGGGAAGGAAGGGAAGGAAGGAATAAAAAGGGAGAGAGGGAATGGATGAAGAAAGAGGAGGGAAGGAAGAAGGGGTGGGGAGGAAAGAATGAAGGGAGGGGATGGAGGAAGGAAGGGAAAGAAGAAAAGTGAGGGAGGGAATGGATGGAGGAAGGAAGGAAAGAAAATGGATGGAGGAAGAAATGAAGGAAATGGAGGGAAGGGAGGAAGTTAGGGAGGGAGGGAGGGAATGGATGGAGGAAGAAAGGGGAGGGAAGGAAGAAAGTGAAGGTGAGGAAGGGAGTGGAGGAAGGAAGGAAGAAATAAAAAATAGATGGAGGGAGGAAGAAAGGGGAGGGAAGGAGGGAATGGATGGAGAAAGAAAAAGAAAGAGAAAGAAAGAAAGAAAGAAAAGAAAGAAAGAAAGAAAGAAAGAAAGAAAGAAAGAAAGAAAGAAAGAAAGAAAGAAAGAAGAAGAAAGAAAGAAAGAAGGAAGGGAATGGAGGAAGGAAGAAAAGGGAAGGAAGGAAGGAAGGAAGAAAAGGGAGGGAATGGATGAAGGAAGGAATGAATGTATGTAGGAAGAGGAGGGAAGGAAGGAATGAAGGAAGCAAGGAAGAAAAGGGAATGGATAGACAAAGGAAGGAAGGGAGGGAATGGATGGAGGAAGGAAGGAAATGGATAGAGGAAGGAAAGAAAGGGAAGGAAGGATGGGAGGGAGGAAGGAAATGAGGGGAGGGAGGAAAGAATGAAGGAAGGGAGGGGAGGGAGGAAAGAATGAAGGAAGGGAGGGGATAGAGGAAGGACGGAAGGAATAAATGAATGAAGGGAGGGAGGAAAGATTGAAGGAAGGGGAGGGACGGGGGAAAGAATGAAGGGATGATTAAAGGATGAGGAGGGAGGGAAGGAAAAAATGAAGGGAGGGGATAGAGGAAGGAATAAAGGTAAGGAAGAAATGGGAGGGAGGAAGGAAGGAATGGATGGGTGGATGGGAGAGAGGGAGTGAGGGAGAGTGGCAGGGAGGGAGGGAAAGAGAGAGAGGGGGAGAGAGAGAGCAGGGGAGAGAGAGAGAGGGGGGGAAGAGAGAGAGAGATGGGGAGGGAGAGAGGGGGGCAGAGAGAGAGGGGGTAGGGAGAGGGAAAGGGAGAGAGAGAGAGAGAGAGGGGGGGGAAGGAAGGAATGAAGGAAATTAAAGAAATGATGGGAGGAAAGAATGAAAGGAGGGGAGAGATGAAAGAATGAAGGGAGGGCATGGAGGAAGGAAGAAAATGGAAGGAGTGAGGGAATGAATGGAGGAAAGAAATAAGGAGGGAGGGAGGGAGAGAGAGAGAGGGAGGGGAAGGGGAGATAGAGAGAGGGGGGAAGAGGGAGGGAGAGAAAGAGGACGGGAGGGAGAGGCGAGAGAGGGAGGAGGGATAGAGAGGGGGGAGAGGAAGGAAGAGAAGGGGGAGAGAGAGAGAGAGGGAGGGAGAGGGAGGAGTGAGGGAGGGAGAGAGGGGGGAGGGGGGAGAGGGAGCGAGGAGAGGGGGAGAGAGAGAGGGAGGGAGGGGGAGAGAGGGAGGGAGGGGGAGAGAGGGAGGGGGTGATATTGGGGGAGAGGAAGGGAGAGGGGAGAGAGAGAGAGGGAGAGAGAGGAAGAGAGAGAGAGTGGGAGAGAGAGAGATGGAGGGGGAGAGGGGGGAGGGAGAGTGGGAGGGAGAGGGAGAGAGAGAGGGAGAGTGGGGGAGAGAGAGAGGGGGGGGGAGTGAGAGAGCGGGGGAGGGAGAGAGAGTACATTCAGAAGCATCACGGAGCTGCCGGCTGATCTGGTCAGGGGAGGCACAGCAGATCCTCTCTCCTCTGCTCTGCCGTGGAGGGTGGGGGGAGGGGCCGGACACTATCAGAGAAGACGAGGCATCAGAGAGAAGAGGTCCCTTTAACTAGCAATTGCAACAGCTGTCTTCTGCTAACAATGGTGGGGCCCATGAACGGTAGTGAATACTGGTAATTTAAGGAAGCTAAATACATAGGCTGTGGTACTGCTCAAAGCAAAGAACTCCTGTTATTGAGGTGTAAAGGTGTCTGCATGCAGTGTCTCTGGAGTGATGACATAATGAGGTTAGGCATCTGCCTGCTCACCAATCCTATGGGTAGCACGGC